TCCTCTGCTCCCTTCACTGGTTACCAGTGGCTGCCCAAATCTGTTTCAAGACACTAGTACTTGTGTACCGTGCTGTGAACAGATCAGGCCCAGTCTACATCCAGGACAAGGTTAAACCTTACACCCCAGCCCGCCCACCCCACTCTGCATCTGCGATTCAGCTTGCTGCTCCCTCACTGCGAGCTAGCCACTCAACAAATGGTGGAATGTTCTCCCCATTGACATCAGGAGAGCAGAAAATTTACACATCTTCCACCACAGGCTAAAGACACATCTACACACAATAATAGAGACAGAGAGTAGCAGAAAAAAAAGATTTCATGGTCCAAACATGTATGAAAAGACCCTAATGAACACTGTAAGTGGACTTAGTGGAGCTGTGCATGGCTCCCTGGTGTCTGCCACTTGGTGGCGCTGTAGCCGGGCTGTGCTCCTTCTCCCGGCTGTGGAGCTGTCTGTGGTCTCTGCGTCCGTAGCCAGGGACTGTTTATATTTATTTATCACAAGTTATATTGTCATCGCAATACTAAACAATGTTATTGCTTATCGAATGTTTTCCTAATATCGTGCAGCTCTACTAAGGACAGACTTATATTATACTACATTTGACAACTACAATGGATTTCTTTGAGAGGCAACATGATAAGAATGAACGAGGATAGATACCAGTAGTGAAGGGACCTTCTGAGATGAAAAATGATCCAATTGTGATGGCGGCAGCTGCTGCAAACTTAAAGAACCAAAACCTGAAAGAGAGACAAACATCTAGTTATTAGTGACCTGTAAATTACTTCCACCTGTCTTACATCTCTGGTGAAACGATTTGATGTTCACCACAGGTTCAGTCAAATCATTTGTCAAGAAACCAACACTATGTATGAATGTCTGTCTGTATGCATGCATGTGTGGCTGCATGTGTGTATGTATGGATGATAAGGGGGTGGGTGGGCTTAGATATATGGATGGATGGGTGGGTGGACAGATGCTGCCTCACCCGTTGTGTAGCGCAGCTCGGGGGTCCTGGCTGCTCTTGACTTTGATCATGAGCAGAGAGAAGAGCAGGAAGAACATGGCCATCCCGAAGCAAACACGGTAAACAGCCTTGTAACCAACTAGCACATCACAGTTCATATGACCCTCCACACCAGGAATAGACGAACCCATCCCTCCTTCACAGAAACCTGGAATCTATAGCAGCAAAGAGCAAAGAGCAGAAGCTAAGATGCTGCACCACATCAGACAGCACATAAAGGGTTTGGTGATATGCAAACATTTTCCAATCAGCCACCATCAGACCATCAGTTATTGATTGAAAATATATTTGTGCAAGTATCTGTGTCTGTGTGTGTTATTATCAGCAAATGCTGGTAAAGAGCTTGTTGCATATAAGAATACAAAATCACTTATTTTAAATGTTTTCGCTTTATGTGGGACGCGAACAGCACTGAAGGACCTAAGTGAAGTTATTAACTTTTTTGCAGATTTGTGTTTATGTACAATGTTCTTCTTATGCACAAAACAGATTTTACTTGCTCGTACAATCATCCTGTGACACTGCACTTTACTAACAACATTTCATACAAACCACTACAGTAAAACAGTGTATATAATGTACACACTCAACATTTTTTAAATTAATGATTATTTTTACTCTATAGCCTTGTTATATTTCTTTATTCTCTTGTCTACCTCATTCTGACCTGCCTGCAACTGTAACAATTGAATTTCCCTGGTGTGTGGAGCAATATATCTGTCTATATTATTCTGTGTAGATCAACAAATGACTCTGCTCCTCTGATATTTACTAATGACTCACACTTAGAACTGATCTTTACTAAAAACCTGCTTAATTCATATATATATGTTCCTGGATAAACTGCTCTTCTACAACAAAGAAATCACTGCACTGTATCATAATCTTGTCTGCAGGAGTGTGTGTGTGTGTGTGTGTGTGTGTGTGAGCTTGTCTCTGTCCCTCTTCACACACAAACTGATAATCACGTGGGATATTCATCCTATATTCTAAATTAGTTATTAATCGCTGATGTCGTATCATGACTCAGGATCGTTCCGGTCACTTTAACCCTGATGTCCTGACTGTGCGCGTCATGTCACGTAATGTTTCGTGTTGTGTAGCAGGTTTAAACATATGTCTCATAAACTCTAGAGTGAACCAAACAAACACAACCTAAACAGTCTGGCTGTTATTCACTTGTGAGTCAACTTGATCTTTTACTTCATAACACTGAGTACATGTACAAGTAAACTGTTTAAAGTCACATAGCATGAGGTCAATAAATTGACATTCACAATAATCCCAGCAGTAAAACACACTATGTTTTTGTGTTTCCGTTTCCTGTATTGTTGTATTCACGCAAACTTCGGTATTCTAGGTGAAAGAAGTACCTTCTTGAGATGGTCCTCCATGCCAGGCATCAACATGATGCAGGCAATGCCCACTCCCAACAGCAGGAAGAAGGCGTAGATGAGCCGAGTCACCGTGGAGTTGTTCCCACTGGGGCAGCAACGGCACAGCAGGCAGGGGGCGCTGCCGCACAGGCACGGGATCTACACACACACACACACACACACACACACACACACACACACACACNACACACACACACACACACACACACACACACACACACACAGTAAGGGACAGTTGTTTACTGAACTGGACGGGAACATGAGGGGGAGTGTGATGTCACAGGCCCGTGTGTGTCCACAGCTGATACCGGACACTGTTGACACACGCTCCGGTGTCGCAACCCTTCTGTTGACATCATCCACAGCTGTTTGTTCCCACTATTTTTCTAACACAGCCATTTCGCGTTCAGCGCCACCCAGCAGATAACAGAGACCAGTCGATCGATGACGCAGACTGATCAACACATGGTCGGGAGCCGTGTGATTTATATCTTAGCCACAGATCCAGGTCCTGCGCCTCTTGTTGTCTTCTCTTCGTTTTGTTTACTGTCCGCAGCCTCGGCCCGTCGCTCCGTGTTGCACAGTCATGGCAGCTGGGTGAACACGGAGCGGCTGAAAAAGAAATAAACACACAGCAGCAGCCGATGTCACCACTGTACTCACCCAGCTCGCCATGGAGCACAGTCCCAGAACAGCTCCCATAGTGCCCGATGCTTTTACTTTAGTCTGGCGTTAGATTTGTGGCTGACGGTGTCCCAGAAGATGGAGGATGGTCTGCCTTTCTTCTTCTGATGACGCAGGGGCTCCGTAGTTCAAATGAATGTCTCTGCATTTTGCTGCCCTCCACTGGACGATCTCAATCTGAGTCCCTCTGTGTATGAATCTCTCTCTCTCGCTCTCTCTCGCTCTCTCAAAATGAAGGGAACACTTAATGGTCACGGTATAACACCAAGTCAGTGAAACTTCAGGGATATTCATTTGTCCATCTAGGAAGCACAAGTGATTGTGAATCAGTTTCACTGCTTTGGTGTAAACCGACCATTACACAAGGAGAGCTGGACTGGGCTGTAGAAGGGCATCAACCCAGCAGCAGACCGGTATCTGCTGCTTTGTTCGAGGAGGACCAGGAGGGGCACTGTCAGAGCCCTACAAAATTACCTCCAGCAGATTACATGTGTGCATGTATCTGACCAAACAGTGAGAAACAGACTCCATAAGAGCAAGTTCACACTGACAGCCGTGAAAGAGTCTGGAGATGCCATGGTGAATGTTATTCTGCCTGTAACATCATCCAGCGTCAGACGAACCAGTCACTTGAGATTGTCAGACCTGACGCTGGTGCAGTGGGCCCAGGGTTCGTTCTGGTGCAGGACAATGCCCAGCCTTATGTGGCCAGAGTGTGTAGATCCTAGATTATAAAGGCATCAATGCCATTGACTGACCCTCACATTCCCCTGACCTAAATCCAATTGAGCAACTGAGGGATGTTATGTATCAGTGTATCCGACGCCGTCAAGTACCGCCCCAGACTGTCCAGGACCTCACTGATGATCCAGGCCAGATCCCCCTAGACACCATCCAGCGACTCATCAGGAGCATGCCCAGACATTGTCGGGCGTGCATACAGGCACGCTGGGGCCATACACACTACTGAGTTACATCATGAGTTGCCGTCATTAAAATTCCTGCAAGTTGGATCAGCCTGTGATTTCAATTTTTACTTAGATTTTTGGTGTGGTTTTTCATTCATCAAGAACTGATGTGTGATTTAATATTTCCCTTAATTTGTTTGAGCACTGTAGTTATTTATCCATTTCTCCTTTTCTCTCACATTGTACCTTACAGGAGTATCCACCTTGTGCTGTAGGTAAATTTGGATTTAGTAGCAGGGCCACTGGCTTGGTGGAAAAATGTGTCCCTGCAAAACTGGACGCTACTGTTTCATTACCGCATTTCTAGGACATCAGAAAGGATCCACCTGGTGGCTGGAAGGACACATGGTGGATTGGCTGCATTTGGAGGAATTGGGATAGTCTACTCATCCCACTGTGACGCAATTGGTCTATGACTTCTGTCGACAAAGGACGTGGCAGCTAAATTGAACGATTCCTGGGCGCACCAAATAGTGACAAGGTAAAATACTCAACATATTAAAGTAAAGAAATTTCAAAAATATGAACACATTCGTCAGTAAAAATTCTTCTAACAGTATTAGAACTGTATTAACACAACGATGATCTGAGTCTGTCTGACTTGATCCACCATCATGCAGTGGTGGAGTTAAGAGACACAGAGACATCAAGTCGGACACTTTTTACTTCTAGTAGCTTCAGGGAGACAAGAACAACGAGCGACCTCACAGCATTTGTTTTTCTTGTTGCAGATTAAACAGATGTTTAGGAAATCCTCGTTTTTGATCAAAGAATGCAATGAACAACGAAGTTGACTGAGAACTGCCTTTCAGCTGAAAATTAAAACTGTAGTGTAAAGTGGCCACATCAGTTGGAGATATAGTAAGAACTTTTTTCTTTTTTATTAATCAGAACATTAGAAATACAAAATAAGGAACACATAAAATAACATAACAGAAACAAAGAGAAACCAACAGATATGCACTGCCAGTGATTATACATTAAGGGAATATTATATAGTGACACAATCATATACTGTATGTCTATATAATTACATTAAACACACAGGCCTATAGTTTTAGAGAGAGGAGAGGGATCGGGAACAGTTGTGCACCATCAGGTTTCAGCTCTGAAAACAATAACAGTGATATGGATGTAATCAATCAGAGCAGAGTTGTGATGTCATAGAGGCGGCCCCAAGGACCAGTAGCTCGAGGAGGGTAACTGCACGGCCTGACTGCAGCCGGGTCGCTCCTGCGACGTTTTAATGGTCGTGTGACATTTTGCAGTGCTAGATGAGATGAAGTCAGACAAAAATTTGAACCAGCATGCATTGTGTTAAGACCATCATGCATCACATTAAGTCAGCGCTGCACAGTGCCACATCAAGTCGAGCGCACCTATTACTAAGTCACTCAATGTGTAGGGGCTTAAAGTTGTCTGGAATATTAAACCACACCATTACACAGCTGTCTGCAGGATGCATAGTGATAAGCTAATTTATCATAATTCTCACTCTTATCTCATCCATCTTGTGCGAAAGAGACATGAAGTTGACGAGGAAGAGACTCACTGGTCTGTATGGGTTAGCCTATAGCCTAGCCTTTAGCCTAGGGTCGAACCCGGCTCGCTTTCCCCCTCCTCTGTTTGCTCTCAGTTTCATCAATTGTGATTTAGCAATTTAAAAAAAACTGTAAGGGTGAGAAGTATTCACACAGATCACCTGATTGTGGTTGCAGCTAAAAGTTTTGTTAGAATCCAGTTAGTACTTCATACAACAGCATCATACACAGACAGCGTAAGTGCCTCAGTGTTTTAGAGAGAATATCTAAATTCATTATCAGTGAGTAACAAGTGCAGTAGACTGGAATTTAAGTTTTCTCAGTGTATTCACAAATTAATGTTAACATAGTTTCTTTGTATCCAGAATCCCCTTATGCAAGAGACGTGCACTCACATACCGAATCAGTTAACGCCGACTTAACAGACCAACTTTCTTTGTTAACCCTGAGTTAAATCAGAGTCGGTTGAACCAGCTTCATAGTACAGGCCCCTGGTCTGAACATTCTTCGTCTCAACCTGTCTCTTGATTTGCCATGCGAGGCCTCAGCTCATTAACTGTTCAACCGCTATGCTGTGTCACATTGCACTACTGTGAACGAGAAGATTAGGCGTTTTTTTCTTTCTGGTGTACAGGTACAAGAGGGCTACTATAGTTATCACCTTGTGAGTCTGTGTTGTCATGGTAAAATGTGGCTCTGGAGACATCAACTGTAGCTGGAACTACCATATTCTGTGTACTTTCCAGGTTCACGTACAGTCTTAATGAAGATCTCCTTCTGTCCCAGATCCCTAACTCGGCTCAAAGAGAAATAATCCCCAGATGAATTCACTATCTGAAGAATTGTTACTTAATAAATAGATTTTCAGACGTAAAGGTTAAATCTTTTGATACAGGCCAGATGAGGATGCCTCCTCACTGATGTTGGACTGGATGTGATGTAGTGCTTTATCTATGGTGAACATACTGAGCATATGATGATGTCTTCTGTCTTGAGACATGACAACATAGAGATGCATCTAGTTCCTGCTGTCCTGTGTATACCAACAGGACCACTTTAATCAAATTGTGTTTGGTTTTAATTATTTCAATAGGTTATATTTGGTGGTATGACTCTGTTCCAGGACCTCCCTACTCTTCTACGGGCATATGTAAGGGGTACCCCTCCATTAGCCTTCACAAAAAGTGAGGCAGGGAGAGTAGCAGCTTAAGGACCCTGGCATAGAACACAGCAGCCATCAGTGACAATGCAATTTGTGCTTTGCCAATTTAATGCATAGGGGGTGATCAGCTGAGCAAACAGCTGAAGTGGGCTGGCACAGAGAGCTGCTGCTGTCAGCTGACATACTGAATTGTGGCTGCACTTGACTTCGAGACCTGCCTGAACAAATGCTATGGTGTTTTTTTTAATTTGACAGCTTTGCATTGAAGAAAACTTTCCTAGTTGTAAATAAAATAAAGTATTGGAACCATCAAAAAGAAGCAGGTTTCATTTCCAGACAGGACAGTTTATTTATCCTCAGATTCCTGTTTCTGCCCAGATCTATTTCAGGAGCGTTAACAGATGCTCAACATGTTGATATACAGTATTAATTCTCTCAAAATGTATTTGATTTCCATGTCGGTAAAAGTATAAATGTTCAGGACAGTTTATATGACAATTCAAACCTTTTGCCTGTGTGCACAAGTTTACACAAATGGACAGACAAGAGTGTCAGTGTTCCAGGGATAAAAGAAACTGATAATTGGAATGTTTTTGAGCCTTGAGCATAGTTTACTCTGCTTCCAAAAGGCTTGTTTGGAAGGTTAGACAGCTCCATGCACACCCTGAGGATGTTGGATTATGGAAGTCTGTGTGCGACCAGTTGAGTAACTTTCTGAAACATTCACCCTAACTTGACACTATAACTTTAGTGTGAAGCTTTTCTGAGGTGAGAGGACACAAAGGCAGGAGGTTTTTCATTAGTTTGTGGTAGATTCATGTGAACTACCAACTAACAGTATAAAGGACATCCTGGGGACTGGAAATTTGCATCATGGTCCCCTTATTCAAACCATATCACACACACCCCTTCCTCACAATGGTGTGGCTGTTCTGGGACCATAAACCACAGTAACATCTATATAGAACAAAGCTACATTTCATGGTTTTGCAATGTTCATTTGGGATTTGAAAGATTTCTACAATTCCCATCATGCTTGATGGGTGATATACAGAAAACAGACACTCTAGGGCTGTCAATGGGTCCGGGTGTTACTATGGATTATTGCTAACACAGAAGTTCATATAGCAACCTGAGTGACCTTTATCTCCATGTCTTTTAAGAACTTTATACACATTTATCCTTCATACGTGTCTACTGTTTTGACTCACTGGTGCAAAATTTTAAGTCATATCTGTTAGGGTTTAAAGGATAACTTTCGAGAGGTTCTTAAACCATAATTGTATTTGGGGAAAATGTGAAATGTGTTTATGGTACAAACTGCAGTTGTTCTTACACCAGCCTGGTGTTGCCTTCCCCTCAGTTACTGCTTCTCAACAAGCACACACACTTCATGCCAGAGAGGTGAGGAATGGTAAGACACGATATCAGCATTATCTGGAAGATGGAAGTTGAACTAATATCAGTGTGAGTGGCATCACTGTCTGCTCACACTCTGTCCAGCTGGGTGGAGTCGACCTCTAATCCAGAAGGAGTCAGTTCACACAGGTAGAAGAGTGTCTCTTCGCTGGCCTCCGCCTCTGTCAGAGGCTCCAGGCGGATTAAAGAGTTGCGGACTGGCTGTTTTGACTCCAGGCTGGTGTCCAGCAGCTCTGACGGTGGATCAGCCTCCACAGAAGCACTGGGGCAGAAGGAGGACTGAAGGTGGATGATGGAGGAATCAGAGGAGCTGCTGCTGCCACTGGTGCCTGGGTCCAACTCTGGAGGAGGGGTACAGCCATCAAGGAAGGCAAGCAGGGGGCAGGAGGTGTACTGGATCAACTGCTTATCTGAACAAAAAAAATTACTATAATCACCACTTACCTGACTGTAATCACACAACAATTTTCATCATTCGTTGTAAAGAAACTACACATTGACCTTTGTGCTGATGTAACACACTGCAGCACCGCACTACAGATAACAAAACTGAGGGGCACAGTGGAATAAATGTGTGGACACATGCTGCTTCCATTCAGCTTACAGGGCTCCCTGAAAGCTCCGATGAGGATGAAATTGAGGTTTCTTCACTGTCCCCACACCTCAACTCAACCTAATACACTGAAGCTGCTCTGAAGGATCATGGTGGAACAGTAACTAACGCACAGGTTTTCTTCTTTGATCTTTCACTAATATAAAAAATACAACAATAAACTGGTTCTTAATGTAATTTATGAATGTATCTGTTCTGCATTTGGGTCAAAGTTTTGGACTACTTGGCTACAGTAGGATAACGTCTGGCTGCCAGTGCAGCACATGACGACTGGGTCGCCGAACTGCTGTGACTCACTGGTATCTGTTGCTCACACAGAGAGCGTGTCTGCTATGTGTTCTGGTATGACTAGTGTATTTCCTCTAATAAAAGTAGTGCTGTGTACTCAAATGCATATGACACCCAGCTGCCCTTATCTGCAAGGCCTGAATAACTTAGTTAAACTTCAGAAATGTCTTTAAGACATTAAAGCCTGGATGACCTATTACCTTCTGCTTCTAAATTCAGACAAAACTGAAGTCGAGAAACATTATCTGACCAGATAATTATCTTGGATGGCATTAGCTTCAGCTTGGCCCCCACCTCTTCTGTGATTCGGAGTTAAGTTTGGAGTTTGTCAATTGACTCACACATAAAACTAGTCACTAGGACAGCCTTCTTACCCCTGCGCATTATCATGAAAATCAGAAACATCCTGTCTAAGAAGGATGCTGAGAAACGGCCCCATGCTTGTTACCTCTAGACTGGATTATTGCAATTCTTTATTATCAGGATTTATCAGTAAGTCTGTGAAAAGCCTCCAGCTGGTCCAAAATGCTGCAGCATGAGTGCTGACAGGAACTAGAAGAGGGGATCATAATACTCCTGTCTTAGCTTCTCTGCATTGGCTCCCTGTAAAATTATCACTATGGATTATTTAGTGTAAGACAATGACGTGTGCAAACAGTGAATACTTTCTGATGCCACTGTATGTCAGTGCAGGTTAGTGGAGGTCTGGCTGTGAGTGTGTAAGTATTCTCCACTTACCAGCATTGTCTTCTTCTGTCCTGCCTCTGTTTAGCTGTGCAGTGTTCTCTTTGGAGGGCACACTCTCCTATAAACACAGAACAGCTTCAAAACCCCCCAAATTACAAACATTTCTCTCTCTCCCCTCTTTTCCACCCATCTCTCCTCTCCTCCCCATTTTTCTCTGCTCACCCCAACCGGTAGAGGCAGATGACCGCCCACATTGAGTCTAATTCTAGAGGTTTCTCCCTGTTAATGAGGGAGTTTTTCTTTCCACAGTCGCCAAAGTGCTGCTCATTGTGGGAACTGTTGGGTTTCTCTATATTAATGATTTTAAGGTCTTGACCTTCTATTTAAAGTGCCTTTAGATATTGTATATTATGATTTAGCGCTATACAAATACAATTGAATTGAACTGAATTTATGGTTTATCCATTTACTTAATTTCTAATTCACTACATGTTAATCAGGTACACAAAATAATAAAACAAATAAATTAATCAATGTCAGTGTCTATGAAGAAATAGTTGCATTAGAATATACCAGAGGTACCACATATGGGCTTTTAGGCCAAATTATTTCTCCAGATTCTCTATAGCCTTGTGGAAAGCCCTGCAAGTTTCACACTTTAGAGAAATAAATATGTGAAAATTGTCAACACAAATGGATAATTAGGTATTGATCATCTTAATGTTTAGTGTGAAAGTGATTTCATTGTACCTCTATGGCATCAAAATCAATGCCAAACTGCTTTCCATTTAGCATGGACTGGAAATCCTCCAGACTGCAGTCAATACTGTCCAGATAGTCCATCAGCTCCACCCTGACAGTGCACGCACACACACAAAATGCTATATTAATAACACATAATCAGGGACATGCCAAGACATTTGAGGGGGGAGAGGCTCAAGTGACAATAAGGGCACTTCTCAAAATGATTTCAAAAAAATATTTTAAAAATAAAAAATAAAAAGCACTAATAATTTGTTTATTTTTGAACATGACAATAAATCAATCAATAAATAAAACACACACACACACACACACACACACACACACACACACACACACACACACACACACACACACAGAGTACAGGTTGCCACTTACTTGCCCAGCAGGTTGATGTTCTGTGATATAGCTCCGTTTTCTTTCAGTATGGAGTTCATCATCTTGACGGGGTCCTCCAGGCTGAGGCCTGAGGGTTTATTGAGCTGCAGGGCGCTGCTGGTGGGGCAACTGCTGTCTAAAATGCTGCTCCTCTGGGCGTTGTCTGCTGATGCTGACACATCAGCCTCTGTCTGTTTGTTGTCTGTGCAGGTGGTGCTCACCTCCGTCTCAGCTGGCAAGACTGCACAGCTGTCCAGCTCTACCTCCACAATTTCTACATCACTGGGGAGGGTAAGTAGTCATGGGAAAAAAGTAGGACACCCCATTAAATATTTGGTTATATGTGAAGAAATATCAACATATGAATATTAGATTTTTTTCAAATTACATCTATAAATAAGGATGATGTAATCGCATTAACTAATTCACTTTATTACTTATTATTATGAAAGATGCTCATTCTTACGAAGGAAAAAGTTAGGACACCTCCCTTGACACTATGCCCTAACAGCTGGTATTTCCTAATGTTTCCGATAACTGTCTAACTAGTCTCTATGACATCGACATCCAGAGTTCTTTTAGCTGTGTGATGTTTGAGGGGTTTCTTGCATGTACATCCCCACCCAATGGTGTCACAATAGGACTAAGATCTCGGCTTTGAAGGACTTTACCAGAGTTACTGGAATGTTTTGGTTCATGCCATGTTGCATGGTTCACTTTCACTACCTGGGTTAGATGGCCAGAGTTTACACTCCCACAGATTAATTGAACAATATTTGTTCTTCTTTATTTTGTTAATTAATGATTTATTTCAACTGTGACTCTGTTGTGGTGTCCTCCTTGTGTGTTGCGGTCACTAGGTTGAGGCCTCATATCCCACCCTCTATACGCTCACATTCAAGCATAAATAGTCAATGAAAAGTACCTTGTCAATGTTGAAACATGAAAATTACCCTGTTGATCTATGTTTTTAATGGTAAATGGTAGCATCAAAGAAGAGACGACCAACTTTTCTTACTCCTAAATCTAGGTGCTTGTGAGTTACACATCATTTGGTGGAGTGGCAACAAATTGCTCCTGAGATTAATGCAGTGAGGGTGACAAAGAGGACAGTGCCTGAATTGAAAAAGCAATAACCAAAATAACCATCTGAAACCTGAAGAATCCCCAATGTTTACAAATGTATTGTTATTATTTTGAAAGGAAAGATTATAGGTGAACACAATATACACTGCTCAAAAAAATGAACAAATGATTCAAGTTGAAATTCTTTACTGTATAATTTGTCAAGAACAAAATGATGCAACAGTGTTCAATGGAAACCAATATCATCAACCCATTAAGGGCTGGATTCAAAACCACACCGAGAATCAGAGTAAAAAATTTCAATCACGGGCGGATCCAACTTACATGAATTTCCTCACGGGAACTCATAACATGTCTCAGTACTGTGTATGGCCTCTACATGCCAGTATGCACTCCCGACAACATCTGGGCATGCTCCTTATGAGTCGGCGGATGGTGTCCTGAGTGATCTCCTCCCAGACCTGGATCGGGGCATCAGTGAGCTCCTGTCTGTGGCGGTACTTGTTGACATGAGATATACCAATACATAATGTCCCATAGGTGCTCAATTGGATTTAAGTCAGGGGAATGTGAGGGCCAGTCAATGGCACCTAAAAGCGGTTAGGGTACCGTTCTGTGCAACTCTCCGAGGATATGTCTCCCCAGGCCATCACTGTCCCAGCTAAACCGGTCCTCATGATGTAACAGGCAAAATAACATTTATCAAAGCAGACTCTTTCATGCCTTTCACATCTGGTAAGTGTGAACCTGCTCTCGTCTTTGAAGAGAACATGGAGCCAGTGTCAAAACTGCCAATTCTGATGTCTCTGGCGAATGCCAATCGTGCATCACATTGCTGGGCTGTGAGCACAGGTCCCACTTGAGGATGTTCGGCCCTCATGCCACCCACATGGAGTCGGCTTCTGATAGTTTGGTCAGAAACATGCACACATGTAGCCTGCTAGAGGTCATTCTGTGGGGCTCTGGCCGTGCTCCTCCTGTTCCTCCTTCCTCCCATTCTACTGGATTGATGCCCTTCTATGGCCCCATCCAGCTTTCCTCGTGTAAGGGTTGGTCATCTGGTATCTCCTCCATGCTCCATGCAAACCCTCTTGTGACCACACGTATGTATGTGCCTTCTTGGAGGAGCTGGACTACCTGTGCAACCTGATTGGGCTGCAGGTACCAGCTCATGCTATCAGAAGTAAAGGACAATAGCAGAACACAAAACTAGAGAAGAATCAGTCAGGAAGGAGGAGAGAGCAGCTGTCTGTGGCCACCACATGTGGAACTATTCTCTTTTTGAGCATTGTCTTGTTTGTTCTTCTACATTGCACCCCCTGTCACCTGCTGCACCAAAGCAGTGAAACTGATTCATACTTGCTAAATTGACATAATGATATTTCCGACTGACTTTGTGTTATACTGTGACCACTAAGTGTTCCATTCATTTTTTTGAGCAGTGTATTTATTTATGTGGTCTCCATTTTGCATTCTGTGCACCTGACAGCAGAGTCATGTTCACCGCAGCGACTTTATACAAAAATGATCAAAAAGTATGTTGTACATGCACAGTGTTATATATCATCAAATGCTATTAATTGTTCAGTTGTGCAAGTTTATAATGCCATTTAATTGGTATGTTAGTATAATTTGCTTTGATTTGGCTTACATCTTCTTTTTAAATAAATTTGTAATATGGCTTCAATTCACATCCCCAACTCTGTTGCCTATTTCTCATCTCAAAAATGTTAACATGCATGAGCCAGAGTTTGCATACAGTTGCACACATTCTCCCATCAACTTATTTTTTTTTATAGATCCCAACTTGCATGGACAGTGATGGATGCATTTCTCATACCCCACATATATAAATAAGACCCCTTAGTCTTTGTCTAAGTGTTCTCTAGCAAAATTAAATCTTACCCTTATGTTATTTTGTCAGGAAGGGTCCTCCTTGCACACCTCTCATGAAAATCAAACCTGTGCCGTTGCTGTAGATGCATGTTATTTGACATCAACCGGAGGTTCTTGTCGGTGCTGTGATGCAATATCACTACCCAGACACATGCAAGTACACTCTTCTTTCTGGGCCTAAGAGTGCTCTGAATAAGACAGGCTCTTCCAAAATGCTTTGTAACAATGACCATATCATTTGCACCTGATAAGGTGTACCTTAATATAATGCTTGGCATTTAAAATATCCAACCTTTTTCCTTGCTTCCCTAGTAATTGAATTGTATAAATCATGAAATTGTCATTCAAAAGACAATTCTTCAGTATAATTTTATAAATCATAATACCTTAATCTCTCAAATTGTGTGTCAAAAATCCGTCATCATTTTTTCACAAGTTCATCACTTCTGCAGTAAATATTCTTTATACTTGTCTATTTTAGACACTTACTGAGTCAGTACAAACCTACGCATGTTCTTAATGGCTTTTTCTAAGACCTGTGATAAAACTTTAAAGGGCCACAATCTTTGCTCGGTGTACAAATTCAACACGTGTTTTAAATGCACAGAGAACAGGCAATATACTAATATTCTCTCCAATGCACCTGCATAATATTAGAGTCTTTCCTATGAACTTATTCAAAAGTAAATGCACATAATGTATTTGCATGAGGGCATAGACGAGTCACTTTTGTTCAATACATAAATGGAAAACAAATGGCTTAACTAAAGACTAATCACTAGGATATATATAAATACATTATGATCATCATATCATCAACATCATCATTACTGAGCTTAAGCCTCGAGGTGACAGAGTGCTGTTTTTTTGGTTTCACTTTACTATCATTTGATGTTTGCTGCTTCCACTCATATAACGTTGAGATGGAATGACTTCGATAGTGGCACAATAAAAACTGTCAAAAATATGATGTGATTCAAAACATGGACATCCCATTAAACATGTCACACAATAAATCAGAAATTCTTGCACTTCTGCAAATCAGACAGCTTTCAATTGTCTTGCAGCTGTTACTGGTTTGATGTCATCTAAGAGATGACATTTGAAAGCAGTAGAATGATTTGAGTAGTAGAATGTCTTACCTTTGCTCATAGTCTGTAGGTGACCTCTCAGTGATCTCAGCCATCACCTCTGCATCATTCTCAGTCAAGTCACAGATGATAACATCATCCGACATCTCAGAGCCTTTCACACCATTCAGACTGTTGACAGATGACTATACACACACACAAAATTTAATGATTTCAATTGCATTAAAAGCAATACCTTTCATGTTTGTATCATGAGGTTCCATTATTTACTAACCTGTTCCACACAAACTTTTTCATCATAGATCTGATGAATATATTTGGGCTTCTTTCCATTGCTGTTAATAAGAATTGGCCTGTTGACAAGACCGTGACACATCATTAAAGTTCACATTATGAGAATGCTGAAATGGTTAGTTTACAGACTGACTACTGTGTAATTGACAAAGGTTAATTTAGAAAAATCATGCATGTCATTCAAACAA